TTTTTTTTTTTTTTTAGTTTGGGTTCTATTATTATTAAAAAACAAAAACAAAAAAAAACAAAACCAGCATTAAAATGACAAGATTGTATAGTTTGTATATTTAGGAATGTATTTTTGAGAAAGAAAATTTAAATGAACTAAAGCAGTGTTAAGTTGCTGCTCTTAAAATTGTTTAGATTTTTTTTTTTTTTTTTTGTACAGCTCTACCTTCTAGAGGTTTCACTGCAATAAAAAGTAATGTTTCAGGGACGGTAATCCTAAAAGGACGTCCCACAGGTGTCAACAGCACAGCTGACCTTTCCTACTTAACACATTTTGTACAATATAAAAAAAAAAAAATGTCTGGAACCATTTGGGGAATTCTGAGGTGCATTTGCAAGTCTTCATGAGCTGTGATGTGTTTGTATGTGGCCGCCTGACGTGGGGCAGGCAGCACGGAGCTGACTGAGCAGCCCAGCCCGTGTGGAGACAGGCCTGCCCACGCCAGTCTCGGATGCCCAGTGAAGCCACTGAAGTGAGTGAGGGAGGGCTGTGGAGAGCTCCTTTCAGTTTCATCTCCATCAATAAAGTGGCCTTTCTGAACGAATTTTCGCTCTCTTTTTTACCCCACCTCTCACTTCATCTGTTTCTCCCTAATTTTTGATCCTCCCCTTCCTCACCATTTCCTCTCCACCGGTCTCCAGGCCTGGGGGCGGTTTTTCTCTTGCGGGCACCACCACTCTTCTGCTCATCGGATTTAAAACCACTGCCCAGCTGGGGCTGTTGCAGACAATGGGGAATCAGCCTTTAACTATAATTTTTCATCCCAAAGCTATCTGTAGCCATGGTTCACGTTTCCGGGATCAATCCCACAGAGAAGAGCAGATGTAAGTGGGGAAATTAGGGGGAGACCTGGGGTTTGAATCTTCCATCCTCTCCCTAGTTGTAGTCTGTCTGGTGAACCAGGACAAGAGAGCTGGTAAAGGGCGCCTGGGTGGCTCAGTCGGTTAAGCATCTGCCTTCAGCTCAGGTCATGATCTCAGGGTCCTGGGATCGAGCCCCACCTTGGGCTCCCTGCTCAGTGGGGAGTCTGCTTCTCCCTGTGCCTCTGCCACTCCCCCTGCTTGTGCCTCTCTCTGTGTGTGTCTCAAATAAATAAAATCTTTTTTAAAAAGAGAGCTAATAAAAAGGTGAAGGTCATGCAGTAGGGTTTTTTCACTCTGTCACACCTTCATCCATGGTCAGCTCTCCCAGCAAGGCTCAGCCCCTCACAAACCCGCAGCATCAGCTTCTGTGAAGCAGAGCTCCTAACACCCTCCTTGTGTGTGGGAAAGGCTGTGTGGAGCAAATCCTCCTACCTGAACCACTATGTCTCAGTGTTGCTTCAGCTGATAGAGCATTTGCAGGCGGCCTTCTGTCCGCCATAGCATTGAATTCTAAATAGTTCACTGGCACACCAGCAATACATCCTGTCGTTTGCCTCGCGAGAAATTGAAGAATAGATAAAGAAATTTCACTTAGAATCATGCACATGTGTTCTCCAGAATCTTCAGGAAATACAGTTTCAGCAATGTGGAAAGGTCTCTCAGATAACAAATGGCCAGAGCTAGGACACAAACGCTGTCTATCGCCTCCAAAATGTTTTTTGTGTTTCAGCTCTGGTTTCTGTTTCATGGCACTGTGGTCACATGTGGGCCCTACTCAAAGGGAATTTGAGGGGCGCCTGGGTGGCTCCGTTGGTTGGGTGTCTGCCTTCAGCTTGGGTCATGATCCTGGAGTGCCGGATGGAGAACAGCGTCGGGCTCCCTGCTCAGCGGGGAGTCTGCTTTGCCCTCCCCCTCTGCCATTCCCCCTGCTCCTTCTCTCTCTCTTGCTCACTCTAGCTCCCTCAAGTAAATAAATAAAATCTAAAAAAAACGGGGGGGGGGTGATTTGAACATTTGGTTTTGAAGAGTGAGGTCATGAAATCCTGTGGCTTCTCTGCAGGAGGGTATGAGAAAGGTGGCATGACTAGGACACTAGCCTGAGAAAAGACCGACCAACTCTGACCCATTCACAAAACCAATGGTTGCCTTTGACCGCAAAGTCTTTTGCCATGTACACATTGGCGATCTTTGTGCTTCCCGCATCCAAGAAAGCTAATAAGATTTGTCCAGTTAACTGTCTCCCTGCTAATCAGACTCCAGCCACCTTAACCTTTCTTTTCTGTATTCTGTGTTTACAATTCTGGTTCCTTCTGCCCAGTCCACTCTTCCTTCATGTCTTCACCCTGTCTTCATACAGCTCTCAGATTATCAATATTCTGATCCCAGTTCAAGCCTCGCCCGTCAGAGAGACCTCTCCCCCGACCCTGGGCCACCCTATCCAACTTACCCTCCCACATGTCCCTCTCTGACACAAGGACCCACTTTGCTCAGAACACTGTTCCTCTGCAGTCATC